CCCCAAAACCCCAAAACCCCAAAACCCCAAAACCCCAAAACCCCAATATAATATTCCGAATTGAGCCAATTTGCGAAAATTAATCAAGATGTGGGAAGACATTAGTGACCTAAATTGAGCGTTGTTAGAGAATTATGAAGACCAGAGTACTTACTCCCTTGATATCTTACGTAGACTTTTCAGTAGGCCAGGTAAAGCCTGAGATCGCCAAGACAGACGAAAACGAATGCGAGAGGTCCTTCTTTGATAATACATCGGTATGTAGTTCAGACTTAATACTATTAGAGTTCTAGCTCTGACCTAGACGAGGAGTCAGAAGAGGCTTTCTTATTTAAGTCCTCACTCAAAGTAGGCTCTACGTTTTTGGAAATTACTACTAATTGAGGTAAGCATCTGGAGTATTATTAAGTGTAATTTTTGATAGATGATAACTCTGAAGTCATCCTGAATCACACTAGAGCGTTGTGTCACCTCAAAAACATAACTAGTGATACGGTAGTTGCTTACTATACATCTACTAAGAAGAGAGGGTTCATCAATAGCAACTGAAGACTCAAAAATTTTGCAGGATTGCTATTACCAGGAGAGGAGATTACCATAAAAGTTAGCAAACGAGATTTTCAAAACCTCGACTTAAGTGAGAAAAGATTAGTATTTAATTTAAAAACACCTTTTCATCTTCTTTCTGACCTTTCTCTAAAGTAGCGAATGATCCAGAGGATGACATAATGATGGTCAAGGCAATGCCTGTAGATGAACTCCAAATAAATTCATCAAACGTTTGTTCCCACAGGAGGAATCTCGCAAACATTTTTAACAAATATAACATTGATCTTATGTTTACATTGCTAAACATAGAAATTTCAATTAAGCTTCAGAATTTACTAGATGTTCCCGCTTCTAATGGAACGAAGTATCTGAAGCCTCCTCGTCAGAAATTATCGAGGGGTAAATCTGTGAAGGATACAATGGGGTCTTCGCAAAAATCACGAAGGAAGCCATCCTTGTATACTAATGATGTGACATCAGTTCCTTCTCAAAGTGATCAGGATTCGCAGTCACAAAGCTCAAGCTTTGCTCAATTTCAGCAATAGTGTTCATTTCAATAAGGATGGTAATTTGAGGGGTTTTGGGGTTTTGGGGTTTTGGGGTTTTGGGG